ATATCACAGTATTCAGACACCAGCTAGACGGCTGGGTTTCTCTATGCTATCGTAGTAGTTTAAGGGGTGAACCGCAGTATATCTGACGTTCTCTGTGTAAAAGCATTATCTGCAGTGTGAATCTCTCACACCAGACAGAGTCCTCCTTTTAGGCATGTTTAAACTGAAAGCGGTGATATTCGTTTGATCTACCGTATCATCAATTCACCGTGTTTTGCCGGAGCGCTGCTTCAAGATAGCCAGCAGCTAAAAACAGCTAGCCTGGAAAGATAGCGCTCTCCTGCTCTCCAATGCCTCACAGCTTCCTCAGTTTACTTTCGTTTAAATCAGGGCTGTAACGAACATTAACCCACTTCTTTCTTTCACTTTCGTTGCTCGAGAATGCACTAATACTAAAATATGACAGTTTGGCGCTGTAGACGTGGTTTAACACCGCTAAAGTTGTTAGGATGTTAGTAAAGAGGTGAGTTCACTGTAGGTCAGTACAGTTACACCACTGACCTCGTCACTCACACTCAGACAGGGACTGTATAACTCCGCGTTTCAGCCGTTGCTAAAGTATATTTGGCGACCCTTTTTTTACTCGTGGCCCCCTCCCTCTCTAATCAAGTCGAAAAATTCGGAAGTGCGCCCTCTCCTGGCGACAGCAGAGTAGCGTCGCTTTCCTTGCAGTAGAAAACGCCACCAGGGCTTTCGCTAAAACGTGGAAGTGTGAGAATGGTGTATTATATCGAACATTTATCGAACCTGTCTTATCGCTCTATCGAGGAAAAGTTATATCGCGATACTTATCGTTATCGTTTTATCGCCCAGCCCTACTAGAACCCAAACTGTAGACTCTAGAGCCCCAAGTTTGCTGGCAAGGATGTTTGATTTGACTTGCTAGAAAGTTGGCTTAACTCACTACTGAGAGAACAAAACATTTTCATTTAACTTTAAGAATGTTTTCCCTATTCAGCCTGCTCTAGAATGTCCTCTTGCATTCATACAGCTCTAGAATGTTGTCCTTCATTCACACTGAACTGGAACGCTGTGCCTCATTCACACTTTTCTAGAACTTGTCCCTCATTCACACTACACTAGAACATCGTCCCTTGTTTACATTGCACTAGAACATTGTCCCTTGTTTACACTGCACTAGAGCATTGTCCCTTGTTTACACTGCACTAGAGCATTGTTCCTTGTTTACACTGCACTAGAATGTTCACATTGCACTAGAATGCTGTCCCTTATTCGCACTGTTCTAGAATGTTGTCCTTTATTCACACTGTACTAGAACGTTCTCCCTCATTCACACTGTTCTAGAAAATATCCCTTATTCACACTGTTCTGGAACCTTGTTCTAGAATGTTGTCCCTTATTCGCACTGCACTAGAATGTTGTCCCTGATTCACATTGTCCAGAATGTTGTCCTTCTTTCACACTGTTTTACAATGCTGTCCCTTATTCACACTGCTCTAGAATGTTGTCCCTCATTCACACTGTTCTAGAAAATATCCCTTTTTCACACTCTTCTGGAACCTTGTCCCTTATTTACATTGATCTAGAACTTTGTACCTTAATCACACTGTTCTAGAATGTTGTCCCTCATTCACACTGCTCTAGGATCTTGTCCTTCCTTCACACTGCACTAGAATGTTGTCCCTGATTCACATTGTCCAGAATGTTGTCCTTCCTTCACACTGTTTTATAATGCTTTCCCTTATTCACACTGCTCTAGAATGTTGTCCCTTATTAACACTGCACTAGAATGTTGTCCCTCAGTTACACTGTTCTAGAATGTTCCCCTCATATTCCTATTCACATTGTGTAATATTGTTCCCCTCCATTCTCATTGGTTTGTTGAGATTATCTGTTCTTATTCTGGAACAGTATAAAGCCAACTGACATGATTAGAATCATGGTGTTTGTTGGGGAATGTAGGGTCAGTGTGCCATGACCTCAACATGTGACCACTTTTGATTAGTGAGTGGCAGCAAACTCTGAATAAACAATAACAATCTGCTCAATATCTAAGTGAACGAATTTTGAGCCTCGCTCAGACAGAAAACTCCTGGCTGGGAGAGGAACATGGGCACCCACTGAGAGATCTGGAGAGATCTCTTCTGGATCTAGTGATCACATCCTTTCTCTCTCCATCACTCTATATATCAGGTACCACTCTTCACACATTAGTTCTTGCTTTGTTTAGCCTCACCTAAATAGGTTGCCTTGATTCTGTTAATAAAACCAACTGTGTTTTCTTAAACTACTTAATCATTTCCATTTTCTAAACAGCAGTCCACAGTGTAAAGCTCAATGGCTGAACAGTAAAAGTATTGCTAAGATTTTGTTGTATTCACGCTTCTTTATTAACAGAGATACAGGTTGATGCTGGATCAGAACCAGAAAGCTGCCCAACTGAATGGCTGGTACAGACATTAAATTGGGAGCTATGTTAAACACACACACCTGAAACACTCCTGAGACATGGAAGATGTGGAGTTATAAATCACACTTCAGAACACAAGCTCTGATCTAGAATCAGCTTCCTGAATCATAAGAGTAAAATGGAGAACAGGATGTCAGATCAGCCTTACTTTGAGAAGATGGATAAATAAAGAACTGCTGCTGTAACTGCATCATTCCTTTTCTTCTTGGTGGTGAATTTAGTTTTCTGTAAATACTTTGGAGACCTCTCTGGTAGAAATGTGTAACGCTTTGTAAAGTAGGCTGTGTTTCCGCCCCTTTCCTGAGCGGATGAATCTGATGAAGCACTGAAGAGCTTTCAAAGAGAACTCAACGTGAAAACTTGGTGACGGACGTATCTTCCGAGGATGTAAAAGAATGATCTACTATTGTCATCATATCTTCATCAGTTTAACCCCTTAAAATCCCAGGCTTATTACATACTAAGGCTTATTACTCAGTAGCTACAGGGACTTCAATGCAAACTGGCTGAGCTATTCTTAGGTTATAGAAGTGTGTGATAAAACTTTGGGCCTGCCGATGAGCCCTGACCATTTATTGTTATTGTTAATTTCACATTTGAGACCTAAACATCGAGCATGACCTTCTTTTTGAGGCTGTGCGTGTGATGTTCACACTTAGAGACATCGTAATACGTACTCCTATGAAACGCCAATGAAATTTTTTAATGATTACTGGCTTTACAGGGTGACTCCCAGCAGCTTACATACATCAGACTTGAGTGTAATCTGAGACACTAATACAATTTTTGCACATCAACTACATTTCATTCAAGTGTGCACACTGAAATTACAGTCACGCTCTGTCACTGTGAAAACTGATTCTATGTACACTGTTAGATAATCTGTGTCTGGGGGTTGAAGCAAATCTAGCAGCCAAACGTAAATATTTGCCCACATTGGATGGCTGCTGTTAATTTGTCACCCTGGCTGTAACTGTTAATGTTCTTCAGTACTAACTGTTTGTCTCATGAATTAGAGTCCAAATTCCTATAGCGAGTTACGCCATAATCACTGATTAATATAGGCAGAAGAAAACTCTTTTTTAGTTGAGTAGCTCTTCTCTAAGACACCACTTGAATGTATCTTGACTGCACAGCTACAAAAGACCACTTATATCACATAAAATAAATATAGCTATAATAATTTAGCTGTTGTAACTCTTAAAAACAAAACAAAAAAAAACTTACGTTTTCTTCATTTTCTTTATCATTGACTCTAAGAAAACATGGAATTAGATATTCAAAAATGTGTTAACCAATCTCAGGAACAAAATCTGTTTTTTGTTTTTTTTTACAAGATTTCTTTGCTTAGAATTAGCAAATACACAAAATGTGGTTAACCCTGCTAATGGCATGAGGAAATAAAAACATTCTAATGATTTGCTAAAATGTACTTTTTAATGAATAATTTATGTTCAACTCATAACAGTTGTACTTTCAAAGTGACCAAGTCAGTCAATATCACACTTACAGTGAAAATAAAAAAATGAACAGCTTACTTCACTTCTTGCCATGATCTTTAGGAAAGTGGACGATGCAAATTCCTGCTGAACGTGTGACCAGTGGAATATTCGAGATATTTCATATGAGTGAAGCTGTTCAGGTAACAATGCTGAGTGGATTATTTCCCATTTAAAGAAACACCTCCCATTTCCAGCCTGACCCACACATGTACACATGGTACTTACAAACAAGAACCGATCATGGATATAACATAGGACACATGAAAATTGAGTTACATCATTCACAACTTAAACACATTATATAGTTAAGTGAGCATAAGCGTCCTGACTTTAGATATTCTGTGAATCCATGTATAAAGAGTTCTAGGGGCAGCACTGCTAATTCATGCAGATGACAGTTACAGATAGAAGATATCCAATAACGTATGGAGCCAATGACCTATGGGTAGGTTGTGAGGTGGTAGACAATGCTGCTGTTAAGCCAGCCAGCCATATTTTCCGGGATCCTTCCATAATGGGGAATTTACAGTTATCATTAAGTAAATGAAGTTCAGCGTCTATAGGGAAGTGTATCTTCTTGATTCTCAACTAGAATCAAGAATCTGCTCCCAAAAAGCATAAACTTTTGGGCAGTCCCACATAATGTGCATAGAGTAATGATTATACTTTAAGGTAAAGTGTAGTTGTAGCGGGTTGGACAGGGAGAAATTCTGTTTTCTAAGTTTCTAAGTGTTGTAGGTGGTTTTTATTAATGTTTTAGGTTAATTTATCTGAAACATGCACAGGGATAGTTGTAAGGAGCACTTTTTACACACAGATGTGGTTTCTAAATCACTGGGCATACCAATCATGGAATCACCCCAATATTTTTAACAAAATTCATATTTTTTTTCCCCCCACTCTGAAACAGTTTGTGCTAAATGAGGGCCGGTTAACAGATAGAGTGGTCCTGTAGGCTCTGGCCATCAGCCCCCAACGTCAATGAGAAAAAAAAAAGTTCACAACTGCTGGATAAGAGCTGCGTTTCTATTAATATCACCCAGTTACGAGCGAGGACAGAACAATAAGAGGATGGCTTAAAAGGAGACATTGTTCCAGAGCATCATCCTGTGGTGCATCACTCCCCTCACGCTGCATTCAGAGGTAAGACCAAACTTTAACAGATTCTTCAACACACTTCAAAAAGTTTTCTACTCATTAAGAACTCTGAAAATGATGCTGTGCTTTCCTGTATTATATGCCACTGCTGGATTCTTGGAGCTGTATTACGCTTTTATTTTGTCTCAGCATAGTGTGGGTAAGATTCAGTAATTAACTGTTATTGTTTCATAAATATTTTAAATTATACTTTTTTATTCTTATCTCAAACAAAATGCAATATTAAACACTGCCCTTGAAAAGCTACTCTTGAAAGTCTCAAATATCATGCTATTCATACACTGTTTACTGCGGCATATTTAATATATTATGCATAATTTCCAGCAGTGGACATTGCTGTAAACTGAATTCCAGTAAAAGTCACTGAAGGTCTAGGGCTCTTTAACAGGGCTGATGGAGGGCTATTTGTGGCCCGGGACTGGTGGAAATGGGCAGGAGAAAGCCGGATTGTTATCTGTCTGAAATTGTTGGCATGCCTTTATCCCCCTACACACTGTGTGTCTGCCAACACTTTCTTTTTAGGGGGTTAACTTGGGCAGCATTTGTGTGGGGGTATTTGCGTGGCTAGTGTCATCACATCAAAGTGACCCACAGATGCAAAGCAGACCAGCTTGATGCTGCGGTACTAGTTTTAGTGAGCATAAGACTTTACTGGAATATTAACTTGATATTAACGAGATCCCATTTATTAAAACTGGGTATCAAGCTGAGCGTAGACACTGAAAAAACTTCACAGTTCTTAACCACATGTAAGAGCCTTAACATACTGATTAGTTCAGAACATTTAAAGCCCTTCTACATTCAGTGTTAATGGCAGATCAAGCTAGATTGACTTTTCTGTTCAGTACACTGCAGTTTACACTGGAAAGTTTAAGTTTACCTATTTACAGAATAGCTAAAATCATTATTTTGCATATAAATTAGGCCTAAAAGACACTTGCACCTCGTTAAGTGTTTCTTATCAACATTTAAGTACATGGAATTGCCGTTAACTTGTTAGCGCTCATTGCCTCATTTCGAGAATGCTGGTGACTGAAACATGATCTCTCTCATAAGTCTGCATGTCTAAAGCAGTAAGCTCTCCCTGTGGACCTAGACTTCAGAAACAAAAGCCTTTATTTTTGTCCTCTAGGTTGAATCCACATTGTAAAGATGCCTGAGTGAGTAGATTTTGGTTCTCTTTTGTTTTCCATCTTCTCTTCCCCTGGTGGCCCTCTGGACAAATGAGATCTATTCTTAGAACAGCTGCCCATGTCTGATACGCATTGCTATGTGCTGTTTTAATGAGTAACTATAACACACTTTCTTATTGTAACAACAGACATTTTTTTAATTTTCAGCTTAATAAGTTTAAATGAGAACGAATGCTTTCTGAATACAGGTGCATTACAGTAGTCATAATGTAATAATTTTCCTTTTTTACTTTACAGGCAGGAGGTAAGTACTAACAGTCCATGAAGGTGCTGTATCAACCATATAAAATCACATTTCATGGACTTTTATGCATCATTTTATATGGGGATAAGAATTAAGTGAATCTTATCTTAGAAGAATACAAATTTGATTATTTGGATGCTCTTTTCTTCTCAAACAACAAATGCAAATCACAGTCAAGACAGAACGGTTCCAAAGTTGCATCATGCAGAACAGGCATTAATTAGACTTTTAAGTACTGAAAGGCTCTCACACTGCAAAAAAATGATATATTGGCAAGTGAAAAACATCCTAAATCTAGTCTATATATCTAATATTTCTCATTTTGGAATCGTAAGAATATCATAAAGGTTATTTAACTTCTAGATGTTATAAGATATTTAATCTACATAAATCAACTCATTCTATTGACAGAATGCTTTATATTGGCAGATACATTCTATCTGGCTATAGAATAAGACAATATCTCTAGATAAAATGATTTAAAAGAAAAAACTGTGTAGAAGTAGATCTAAGATTAGACAATTATATTTAAGATCATTTCACTTGCCAAGATATACAGTCTTTGTAAAAGTCTTGGCGCCTCTGATCAAACTGAGTTTTTGTTGATTTTCTAAATGAAAATAAGTGAACACATCCTCTACACAGAACTCACTTCTGCACATAATGCACAGATACTGTTTGATTGTTGGATTTTACATTGGAGAAAATCAAACAGAAAATGTTGCAAATGTTATGGCACGTTTTATATTTATGTTTTATTTCTTTCCAATATGGTAAAATCAAATAAACAGAAACTGTGCACCAAAAATGCAGAAAGATGCCATATTTAAGTGTGTTTTCTACAGAGGACCTTTTGCATACAACTGTAATATTTTGCAGTGCAGCGAGAAAAATATGTCATTAAGGTGTTTAATTTTAGGCAATTATATTTAAACATGGGAAAAATGTTATGGCACATCAGGTCCACCTTTTAAATCTGCATCTTAAACAAATACTCAACTTTGAATTGATATGTGAACTCTGGCATTTATGATACACATTCATGTGCATTTGTTTAACAATCACTAGAAAAAGTCCAAGATTTCAGCCTCCCGCAAGCTGATGCTAAAGGTATGTAGACACAGCAGTCTTTAACACTTCATCACACAGACATCACAAAGACGCTGACCATTAGAAAAATGGCAAATGAAAGAGATTCATTAACACTCACCAAAAATCCCTCAACATGCAAAAGAACAGCATCTAGATGAAGCGTCTTGTGTGTGTGTGTGTGTGTGTGTGTATGCGTGTGTGGGAGCAGAGCCTGATGGTTGCTAAAGCTAAAGAGGAGCTGGAGCAGGAGCTGATAGATAAGGAGGAGGAGAAGCAGAGGTATCTGGATGAGAAAGTCCCTGCCCTACAGACCAGCGGCATGTCCTTCGCGGAGCTCCAGGTACGGTCATTCTTGATGTGTATGCATGCACAAGGCATCAGACTAGGAGCTCTAGGCATGCATGTTAAAGATGAGTTGAACCAATTTTCTGAATAATTAAAGGGTTACCACATAAACAAAGTAATTCAGGGTGGTTTGGTAAGAAATGCCCCGTTCTAGAGAAACTTACCAAGTCAAAGTTGTTCACAGTGGTGGTGATAGGAACCAGACGTCTGAACTGCCTAATGTCTCTAAAAGCTCCCTCACAGAAAGTTATTACATGAAATGGTTACGATTACACTGCCTGATGTCTGAGACACTGAGTGTGTTTACATGCACTTAATAAACCGATAACAGCAGAAGATTAGATTTTGTCAGTAATCCGATCAATGTCTACATGAGTCAAATTTTGAGCCACTTTACCTTAAACTTTGAACATACGTCATCTAGAAGATTTAAATCCTTCATTTCGTCAAGCATGTAGTTGGTTTTAGCATCGCCCCAAAATGTTTTGCTGCCATTTTGCAGCATCTCTGCTCGCTTATTTCCAGAACTGCAGTCTGTTCTGTGCGCAGATGGAGAAATCTGAAAGAAGTCAGAGTAAGAGTTTACATGCACTGAGAAATCAGATAACTGAGCTAAAATCCAGCTCTCTTTATCAGATTTCTAGACCTTACTCCAATCTTAGAAATCTGATTATGGTCAGATTATTGAGTGCATGTAAATGCACTCACTGAAACCAACTATATGCTTGACAAAATAAAGGATTTAAATATTCTTCATCTTTTACATGATGTATATTCATATTTTCAGGTAAAGAGACGCAATGTTTAAAAAAAAACTGCGCCATGAAGTTTGAGTTTTACATTACATTTACATCATGCCATCTTCTGTGAGTTTATTGGCTCGTTGCAAAGCAGAAATATAATTACTGTCCAACTCATGAAGACCAGTTTTCCCATTATCTGTTTACTTAAGTGCATGTAAACGCATTCATTGGATTACTAACAAAATCAGATTTTCTGAGGTTATCGGATTATTAAGTGCATGTAAACACACTCACTGTTTTACAAAAGTTTTAAGAGAAGACTTTATCTATTAATTCATGGTAGAGAGATACATGCAGAGCATTATAAGGCAAACTTTTTACCACCATTTTACTATCATCAATATTACATATAAAAACTCAGAAGACACTTATAGGTTCACTGGTCACTGTGGATTGTAAATAAAATGGCTATATTACTGTTGCTGACATCATGACTTCTGGTTCCCATTACCGCCACTACAAAGAAAATCTGAGCTAGTAAGTTTCTCTACAATATACCACTTCATATCAAACTGCTCAGAATGACTATTTGCATCTAAATGATTTGATGTAGAAACTTTGAAACATCAGTGGAATTCTCCTTTTAATTGTGTTTCATTCCTGCTCACACTTAACCTTTAATCCACTGAACTGATGAAGTAAAACAATGAGATGAATGGTCACTCTCCTTCTCATCTTTCACAGGAACTATGTCAAGAGCTTCATGCCAAGATAGACGTGGTGGATGAAGAGCGCTACGACATTGAAGCCAAAGTGTTGCATAACACCAGAGAGGTCAAAACCGTTCCAACCTGATTTAGCTCACCGACTGACTGAACAATATCATAAACAACCACTTTCTCCTTCTTCTAACTCTCAATAGCCACGTTTACATGCAGCCTGATAATCTGTTAATAATCCGACTAATAGCTCAATCGGAATAGAATACGTCCATGTAAACACCTCAATCGGAATAGTCTAATCCGATTGAGGCCATTCGGAATACAATTTCTATCCGATTAAACGAGGTGGGTAAACTTCTAAATAATCCGTTAAATAGAAGAATAATAGCCATGTAAACGCCTGAATCCGATTACATTCCAATCGGAACGTGTAAGTATGTTCTGCGCATGTGCGTCGCGTCACGGCGAAAGTTTACACCGCTCAACATGGCGGAGCAGAAACTGGTCTGGACTTCACGTGATGTTCGCTGTCATGGTAACGTTTACTCTAAGCGCTACTCCACGCATGCGCGTCATTTTGCATCGGATTACTTGTAGTGAGCATGTAAACGAAGATTTTCCATCAGATTGTTGAATAGAGTGCATATAAACACCTCAGTCTAAATCTGTAATCGGATTGTATTCAATCGGATTGGCAAAAATCGTTGCATGTAAACATAGCCAGTGTTTCTCCTCTATGTAGATAAAAGACCTAAACATCAAAGTTCTGGACCTGAGGGGGAAATTCAAGCGGCCTAACCTGAGGAGGGTGAGGGTCTCAGCAGACGCCATCCTGCGCTCACTCTTGGGCTCTAAACACAAAGTGTCTCTGGACCTTAGAGCGAACCTCAAATCAGTCAAGAAAGAGGACACAGAGAAGGTCAGTGGTTTAAAAGCTGAAAAGGACAGTCACAAAAGCGTTTTTCTGTGTGCCCATTCTAAGCTCTGTTTTGTGATCTGCAGGAAAAGACAGTGGAAGTAAGTGACTGGAGGAAGAACGTGGAGGCCATGTCTGGAATGGAGGGCCGCAAGAAGATGTTTGATGCCGCCAAGGGGCCGACGCAGTGAACGAGTGAGCGCTACATGAACTCAGCAGTTTTAATACACACAACAAAACAGTGTGGGGTGGCCGGTAGCTTAATGTTGGTGAGCCAGTAACCAGAATGTCATGGGTTCAAATCCCTGGACTGACTGGGTATACCTTAGTGTGCCCTTGGGCAAGGCACTGAACCCCCCAGTGCTCCAGGGGGTGCTGCTCTGCTCCTACACTGGACATAGTTAGGCAGCAACATGATCACATAACACTGTGCAAACGCAGGCCTAAGGCTCACATCAACTGATATCTCTAATTAAACTTCATATGAGTGAATCCAAAAGAGCAGCACTAAAGTCAAACCTACAGAAAATGACCATATTGTGGTGAATAATGTTAGCGTGTTAGCATTTCTGGTGAATAATGTCTTCCCTAAAGCTACGATTTCTAGACAAGAAGCTACTTAACAAGAAGCCTTATTTACCTTATTTAAATAAACGCCACGACAGCTCACTGGTGCAGACTCATTGGTCCCACCTATAGAACCTCAGTACATCAACAACCACATGATTTTTGATATCCACAGTTTAGAAGCAGCTTGATTTCTAGTCTTGTGGGGACAGATGTGATCTCATAATGAAAACATCTGGGAACAAATTTGAGAAATTTGGGGCAAAATGTGGGTTGGAACATAGACTGAATGTGAAATTACTAAACCAATCCGATGCTTCATGAAGGCAGAGCTTGAAGTGATGGTGATGGTGCACTGGCGTTGTCTGCCAGACAACATGCCTGTTGTTAGCCTACTGATGTAACGTACGTTATCACGGCTGAAAAAGTCTGCCCTAATAAAACTTCAATTAAGCACGTAGGCCTGTGTCTACATTCCTGCAGAGACTAGTTTTTTCACACCTACTGCAGATAATTTCTTCAGAAGGCCTTAATAAGCTGGATCAGACACAATGGAAGGGGGGGCCGCATGTTAGATGCAGGTTAGAACTAATGTCCGCCGGAGAGAAGATTAATACAATGCACATAAATAACATTAGATTAGATCGTATGTGTGCAGCAGCTATGCTTCACTGGAACGCAGCCAAGAATCGCATGCTACTCATTATAAATATCCACACGGTTGCCTACAGGTGAATGAATACATACAGCGAGGAAAAACAGAGTCTAAACAACTGTGATGTATGTAGTCTAATGTAAACAACTCAACTTTCTTTCAACAGGTCATGGAGCTGAGACTGAGGAGGTTGAGATGCTGAGATGCTGATCTGCCTTTTGAAGCCATGCATTACTAACTACACATTATTTATGTTTATAAATGTAGTATTCTTACTGTATATGTATTGCCAGCATCTATAAATTAGTCTCAAATCATTTGTAATTACTCTGCGTGGCTTGTTTTACATTGCTGTGCCTGGCACACTAGCCTGTCCAGTATATCCTTAGATGATTACATTTTCTGAGGCTTTACAAAAGAGCATAGAAATGTAAGGAAGATAATTCAAATGGACATGAATGTTCCCCATTCACTCAGACTTGATCAAGAAACTGCTCTGATTTGTCAGTCCAGACTTACAATGTTTTATTGTGACTTCCTCAATAAAATATTTTCTATAAAGCATCACTCAATAGGAGCTTTTTTTCCCCACTTCTGAAAATGACTTAGTGTTAAACGTACACTGTGATTTTAGAAGAAAAAAGTCCTGCCCCAGTCAGCTGATCTAAGTTGAAAACATGATTGAGGATGATGCTGCCCTCCAAAAAATCTTAAGTAATAGAGAAAAGCCCATTTGCACTTTTATTGTGAAATATTTTTTTTTAATAAAAAGTGTTTAAAAATACTGTGAATCTCATCTCCGTTACTGCGAGGTTTGAGCCAATATGACTATTCTAATCTGTAAAATCTGTGTGAATATGGAAGGACAGTGCTGAGCACATGAAACCCTAATAAACCCACTAAAGCCATGGCATCCATCAATACAGTTTTAATTGCAGCTAACGGCTATAAGAAACACAGGGACCCAGCATGAGAGTTTACATGCACCTGAGTGACCAGATAATGGGAAAACTTCCTAAAATAATAAATGCCAAAATCCAATTATGATCAGATTAAGTACATGTAAACACACTCACTGTTTTAAGTAATAGGCCTACATCATACTTGAAGTCATGCCAATGCACAATCATTTTGGGGTCATTCAATGAACAGACAGAATTTTAGTCAATTCAAAACGATGATTAGTTGACTGTCATAAATATTGCTTCACCTGCTTCACAACACTCTGAGCGCTTCTCATATTCATACAGATCATCATTACATGTTTCAAACAGTAGTCACTGCCGTTCATGGTTCTCTGTGATGCACGTCTAACAGTCAAAACCAGTAACAGTGATTGATTTACACAGATCTGTTTCTCATTGTTACTCTAATAGGCCTTTAACAGTCATCGATTGTTACACTGTAAAAAGTGGCTCATCAGATCTCCTTAAAAAAAATGACTTCATGTGGTAACAAGTAAAAAAACTAGTTTTATTCAATGAATTGAATAAAACTGGTTCAACTGCTTGTTACCACATGAAGTCATTTTTAAGTAGATCTGATGAGCCACTTTTTACAGTGTATTCCTTAATCTAAATCCTTCTGTCCAGCGCTGTTTTTCCCCTTTTCTCTATTTTAATTTTTATATTAATGGTAGAACCTTACTCTCTGTTCATTTTGCTCTTGTTACTGTTTTGCTATCCAGTGTCGACCAGGTTTCTTTCTCTTAGGGAGTTTTTCCTTGCCACTGTCATCACTGGCTTGCTTATAGGTACTCTGAGCCGGGTTTTTCTGTACAGCTGCTTTGTGACAATACCTATGGTAAAAAGTACTACACTGCAAAAAATGTCTCGTCAGATCTACCTAAAAAAATACTTTATGTGGAAACAAACAATTGAGTAGTTTTATCGTTCATTCAAAGTATTTATTTAGATTGAATAAACTAGTTAATCTACTTGTCACCACATGAACTAACTGTTTTAGGTGGATCTGACGAGCCATTTTTTACTGTGTATATAAATAAACTTTGCCTTGACTTGACTTGACTTAAATCATGAAAATCTACATGTACTTGAAAATATGGATTTAGCTGGGCCTATTAGAGGCATTTTCTGTATCACTTTACAGATTGGTAATAAGAGGGTAATAATATGGTGATATTATGGAAATAAACTAAACTAAAAAATTCCATGCGATTTTTCTATAGTTGTTACTAAGTAATGGTGGTAACAAGTCACTAATAAAATGGAAAAATGTTAAAACTTTAATTCCCTGCACTATAAAAAACTGCTAATCAGTTCAACCTAAAATAATTACTTCATGTGGTAACAAGTTAATTAACTAGTTTTACTCAACCTAAATAAATACTTTTAATTAATGACTTTTTCAATCAGTGTTTTTTTTTTAATTGAATGAAACTAATTTAAATGCTTGCTGCCAAATGAAGTAATTTTTTAGGTTGATCTGATGAGTTATTTTTTAGTGTGTAAATAGAATGTTAATTTTCCAGTTGATACAAAAATACAAGTAATACTTAACAATTAGTCATTTTAGCCTCCCTTTTGTTATTTTAAATTATATTATATAATGTCCAGCTCTTACAACATAATACCAATTAATCAAAATATCACTCCAATTCTTTTACATTCTAAAGGTTTTAAAATAGTCCTGGTTTTAGTCCCAAAACAATGAAGTAGTTCTGCTGAATTGATGTGGCATCAGAGCTGTAAAATACTAGTTCACTTGTTTATACTTAGTTTCCCACCTGTTGTCTTTAAATTTCCAGGCACAGTGTGATTTACAGACAAAAAGCTGTAATTACACTAAAAGGTACTGGATTTTATTTCAAAGTTACTGCAATGTAAATGTACTGAGATAACACTTACAGAAATCACATGTTCCTTTTGTGTTACCTGTGAACAGAATACTGTCACTCTACTGTAAAGCAAAAGGAAAAAAAGACTTTAAAAGAGTTTTAACCTCAAACCACACCACACTTTTCTTTATAGCACCTCTTTATTTTTCTTTATCTTATTATTTATTGACAACGAGAAAACTAGAATGTCATTTTTAGGTTAGTTTAACTAGGGGTTATTATTATTTTCACTATTTTATTACCAGCCTTGTTACTGCTACAATTACTAACTTTATTTAGTAACAACTACAAAATTAACATGTAATTGTAGGTAAATATTTGTTGCCATAATATTACTCACTTATTACTGATCTGTAAAGTGAAGTGCTACTGCTTTTTCCCTAATAACCTGTATTAATATCCCAGGCTTATAACGTTCTAAGGCTAATTATTCAGTAACCACAGGGACTTCAACGCTAAGTGGCTGAGCTATTCTTAGGTTACAGAAGTATGTAATAAAACTTTGGGCTTGCCAGTGGGCCTGGCTATTTAAGGGGTTAATATCATGCAGATTTATATATATATATAAAAAAAAATCTCATATTTAGCTCAATATGACATAAGAAATGAATAAAAATGGTTTTCTTGAGTGTTAAAGGTTCACCAAATTTTCAAAATTTCGGCACTGTATAGCCATTATGTACGAAGACATTCAAAGTATTTTAATGGGAAAAGGTTGACTGTAGAGAAACTCACAGACTCAAATTTCTTTACAGTGGTGGTGATAGGGTCATGATGTCTCCAACACAAAAATAGCCATTATGTACACGTGTCTTGTACAAGTGTTTATGAATAGCGTTGAAAATGGAAAAATAGTGGTAAAAAAATGTGAACAAAATTATTTTCTTTAGGGACAATTTCAGCTCAACACCCTGCATGTAACTTTCTGCCATGAATGGATTAAAAAAGGCCAAAAGCTGCATTCAAATCTGTCCTGAGAGTGAAATTTAGAGGCATTAAACTCTTCAGACGTCTGGTTCCTATCATCACCCCGAATGGCCCGTCTTGGTATGGTAAGAATAGATGTGCTGGTGACTCGGTGTGAAAATGCCCCTCTTGATAAGCAGCTCATTGATAAGCAGCAGATGTTTCCGGCACACGTTGTTCAGCAGTCAGGGGGTGCAGATATTCATGCAAATGTCCACTGGAAAGAGATTTTACTTACCTAAACCAAAAACCCATTTGCATTTCAAACTAGCCATCAGACATTCTGGACCTTCAGTGTTTTGCAAAATTCAAGCCATATTTGTAACAGACACATTTATTTGGAGATGCTATCCTGTTACAGCCAAGCTTTACATCCAAATGTCTAAGTGAACAAATGTGACATGAGACCATTTAATTTACGGCCTCGGCTCATGAGGTTTGTTGGTGAGCTCATCTGTTGTTACAGCTGTGCGCTGTGAGGTGGCAGTGTTTACAAACTGCTGCAGATTAACTCAGGCTGAGTAACTCAGACTTGTACAGACACACCTTGTCTCTCCTTAAGGACATATTAAAGGAGTTGTTCACGTTTAAGGCTGGTGACACATTAGTAATAGTAATGTTCTCTTTGGCCTGGACCTGTTCCAGCCAAAACCGGTGATAAATCAGTGTGTCAGAGTGTGGGAATGTCACAGCCTGGCGACCTTAAAGGCTACCAGCTTTTTCTTCACTCACTTTCTCTGCCATTACAAATGTAAATGTTTGGTGTCTTTACTTATTTAGGTCTAAATTTTTCACAATGATGTCATAAATGTGTCTTTTTTGCTCTGTTAGTGTTTGTTTTGCTAAACACATTTAAAAAGCATGATTGGTCCAATATGCAACACTGCATGAAATATGTGCATTAATATAATAGTAAGTCTAATTTATAGATTACAAATAATATTCCTAACTTATTTTACAATAAAAAAAAAAAAGAATGTTGAATTTATTTATATTATAAAAAAAACTTTATGCATACTATGCTAAAAGCAAATGTCAATGTCAAATTCTATATTAAAACTACATACAGAACATAATGTGTTCCATTACACTCTTATGCAAACGTTTAGGCACCCTGGTCAAATTACATACATACATACATACATACATACATACATACATACGCAAAGGTTTTTTTTTTTTTCAAATTACATGTTTTTGTTGATTTTCTAGGTGTAAATAAATGAGCACAACCCCTACAGAGAACACGCTTCTACACAATTTAATGCACAATTACTGTTCACTTGCTAAATCTAACATATTGGGAAAAATAAATGCAAAAGATATGGCACATATTTATATTTTTCCAATATATTAAATTCAGCAAATAGAAACTGTGTACTAATATTTGCAGATAAATGCCATATTTAGGTGTTCAAACTTATTTTCACTTAAAATGTAATTTTACCAGATGTGCCAAAACATTTACATGCAAGTTAATGGAATATTTTGCCAAATGTAAATCTAGTTTGTGGATTCTGTGGGAAAAGTTACAACTGACAATTCTTACACTTACATATTGCTTTCTTTTTAGAGCGATGTTGTATTTCACTGAATAGAAGTTACAATTTGATGAGTTTAAGAGAGAGATTCAGAACACAGATCATCCAAACAACCACAGTACAGCAGTGCGCTTTAGATTCAGTGGCACTATAAATCATCTCTCAGGACTGACTTTTTAATCTCTGCGCTAATACAGGACTCACTTTTTAAAACAGGCATGTTCATGTGGGGACAAAACTGATAGAAATAGAAATAATGAACTGAATGCTGAGTAACCCTGATACTGCAGAGGTCATACTGAAACGTTCACTGATTTAACCTGCTGATCTCTGAGCAGTGACCTCAGTGGCAAAGGTCAAACAAGCCCTTTCAGTTTCTGTTTGAATATTATTTTTTTGGGTCATGGATTGCACGCAGTCTTATTTCTGTGCAGTGCAGATTTCTGGCATAATTGCTGTAAACTTTAGATGAGGGGTTTAAAGCTGCATCACATAACAACATGACTTCACGACCAATTAACAGCTTCAAAAATGTTTGAAATGCTTTACAAAAGACACAGAGGTCCTCTGACAATGGAGACCATGCAGCAGTAGTTCTACATCCTGCACTGACCTCATTATTTTAACTGTTATATTGAATCTATATAAAATCTTAACAAGCGTTTTATACGTTTCATTGCAGGAATGGTGTGGTACTTTATTTCTTAAGGTTTAGAATGGGTTTTAAAATGATTATACATTTCAAAATTTCTATACACCATAAATTTAGTTAAAAATCTAACAAACAGTTTAAATATTATAAATTTCCCTGATGGCTAATATAATCTTTGAACTTTAATATTTTGGTACATTTTGTCACATTTACTAATTTTTAGGCCTGCCGTCATTGTGCTAACACTTTATGACAATTAATTTAGTGAATTATGATATTCAGTGGTCTGCAAACATTTTTTGGTCAAATTACATGTTTTGTTGATTTTGTAAGTGAAAATGAGCTGATGCATTCTCTACAGAGGACACACTTAAATATGACATTGTTGTATTTTTATTTATGCCGAATTTAACAAATTAGAAAAAAATAAAACATTACTATCTGAATGTGCCATATATTTTGCACAGGCCACATTTTAATGTGTTATATATTTTTTCCAATTTGTTAAATACAGTACAGTGTGTAATCCATACAGAATATGGACTTGTTTTACTTTTATTTATTTTTACTTACAAAATCAATAAAACATACCACTTGACTTGGTCACTAAGACTGTAATTACACATTCCACTCCAACATCTGGACTCTTATGCATAAAGACTCATGCTTCAAGTCTTCAACTGTGTGTGTAGAAAGCTGCTCCAAAGCAAAGGGAGAGCTTCCGTAAAGACCGATCTGAATTGCGTAACACTTTATGTTCACAATATTTGTTCTACATGTGTTCATTCATAGGTCTGTTATTGTTCTAAAATGAGCCAAATATTAAAAATAAATAAATGCGTTTTTAATATTAGAAATAAATGACAAGGTCCTTCTATCAATAGCTGTATTAAACTTTTGACTGGTAAATCTAAACTGCCATTTTATTCCACTGTGTCGTTCTATCTATAGCTTTTCTCTCCCGTGTGATAGTGTTCAGTTGTTGTGGTCTCTATTTGGCTTTTACAGGATGCAGCAGGAAAACCATTTTTTGGCAGTAAGGTGGGACCTGGTTGCCCAACAGACATTCTCAGCTGTGCAGACTGACAAAAGGGAGGAGCATTTATGACAAATTAGCTGACAGTTTCACTGCTTTACGGAGTGTTTATCTTTGAAAAGACAGGTTGTCTGTTGTGCCACTGAAGAAACTGGAACTTAGAAATCTGGAAATTTAGACAGGCAGCTACATTACTAACCTGCAAGCCTTCTCTGAGATACTAGCGTATCTAAGGCCTTGATACTGGTTTTTGCTGTTAAAATATGTATGATATTGTATGATATAGAAAAGCATTCTGTGGTCTTAATGAGTTGCACTTCATGTTTATGAATGTCTATATTCAAACATTTCTTTAGATCATTTTTAATAAACTTATCACAGAGTTGGCTTTTTCATTTAAACCTGCAAATAAACAACATACACTTTCACAATTGGGAAAAAATGTAAACACAAGTAAAAGTATTCAAAATTCTGTACTGTTTCTGGGTTACTATTTAAATGTCGGCAGATCTGAGACACTGACCATGTGAAAGGGGAATTCCACTGGAATTTCAGCATATTTTTATCATTAGGGTTTAATCATCCAGAGGGATCTAATATGAAATGCTCCATTCTAGAGAAATGTACAGTCAGAATTGTTCACAGTGGTGCTGATAGGAACCATGAATCATGAATCATGGAGAAATTCAGAAAAACTTGTGAAATTCCCCTTTAAGGGGCTTTGTATAAAAAGGTTAGTCTTACTCCTTCCACTAAGGCTTGTGTTCAAACGACTCTCAGGTGGATAAGATCTGCTCATCAGAGGCTTCGGCACAAATTACTTCTGTCTATGCCAGCTTGAACGCACACAGTCACTAAATACTAAACACAAGCATCTAATACAAAGAAATTCTGAAAGTACTGTAAATATTTAATTTACTCTTTTTTCACTCAAATTGTTATGCTAATAGCATATTTGTAAAAAAGGAGTTAATACATTTAAAAGAACTACAAAATACAAGAATTTTCACTAGTTGTCTTGGACTTTTTTTGTATTATTTGCAGTTTTAAACATTGGTGGAGGCTGAATGTTCAAACAGCAGAGTGGTTTATTAATAGAAGACACGCGGGATTTCAGATGATTTGTCGTAGTGATAAAGGCCCCTATACACTTTCAGCAGTGATGATGACAACAGGAAAGATCATTCCACATTAGAGACTCGCCAAGGGCACATTGTTGGAGAGTGTGAAGGCCACTATTGTGTCAATATCCTCACCTCGGGGTTTAGAGTCCAGCTCTCAGGGGTTTCACTGCAGCTTAACCTGACAGAGAAGCGCATTAGATCTGAATAGGGACAAACAGTGGAAAAATTAACACCTAGAGGCAATTTACAGCTACTCAGATTGCAGTTTAGTTTTTAATATAAAAGAGGTCTGAAAAAACTTATAGTTGTAATGGTAGTAGAAGAATTACTACTAGTAGTAGTACTATTACTATTAATACTATTTAATATTAATAATATATTATTAATAATTATTACCACTGGTACTATTACTACTCCTAATACTATAATTATGGCTATAACTAATCCTACTACTACCACCAGTACTATATTATTCCTATTACTGTTACTATTAGTATTACTATTATTAACACTTCTACTACAATTAATTCTACAACTAACACTACTTATACTACAACTAGTACTACTAGTACTACTACTACTACTACTACTACATCAATTACTAATATTACTACTAACATTACTACTACTACTACTAGTAATGTGACTACTATTACCACTACTAGTACTACTATTGTGACTAACTATAGTTAATAGTAGCACTATTACTAATCCTACTACTACCACTATTACTTTGATTACTACTATTACTATGACTTCTACTATTGTTAATACTATCACTACTACTATTACTTCTACTACCACTACTAATATTACTACTAACATTACTGCTATTATTACTACTGCTGCTACTACTACTACTACTACTACTACTATCACATTACTACTCCTACTGGTAGTAAGTGTTACTACTATTACCACTACTGGTAATGCATTCTGCATTCTGACTAGCTATAGTAGTGACTAGATACAGTTAACAGTAGTATCTAGTCACAACTAGTACTAATCCTACTACTACCACTTTTAATTTTATTACTTCTGTTACTATTACAAATACCTCTACTACTATTACTAATACTACTACTACTACTAGCATTGCTATAAATATTACTAATATTACTATTACTACTAATCATAACACTACTATGACACTTCTACTACTACTATTACTGTGACCTGCATTCTGACTAGCTATAGTAGAGACTAACTATAGTAGTAGTACTATTCCTACTACTAATCCTTCTACTACTACCATTACTACTACTAGCATTACTAATACTATTACTACTACTACCACTACTATTACTACTACTACCACTACTATTACTACTACTGTCACTAATACTACAGCTACTTCTACTACTACTACTACTACTACTACTACTACTACTACTACTACTACTACTAATAATAATATTTACATTGTAATTATTAATGACATTACATTTGTTGTTGACAAAATTAGTCCAAACAGTAAAGGATGTTATGTACAAAGTCACAACATTTTCTTTCAGCTTCTAAATGAAGAAAGAATGCAGGCACACGCTGAGAGTTACTCTTGTTTTTGAGCAGTGCTGGGGGCTGTTAGTCATCACCACTGCTTTCAGGGTCAGAGGTCAGAGGTCAGAGGTTTTTGAGCCTGGAGGCGCCAGAAAGCCAGATGACTCGAGCGCACAATCTCACAGCCCCCTTATCAACCCCCTGACGTACACTATCTTAGAGACCCCCCACCATACTTCATATCTTCACCCCTAACCCTCTTGATGGCATAGCTGAGACAGGGATCCATGCTGGGTAGATTAGCTCAGTGCTGGCCAGCTGGGTGTAAGATGTATAAATAGCCACAATGGACTGCCAGCGAGAATGTGTGTCCACCCATTGTTCCGTTCCGAGGCACGTATGGAGATAAAGTCCTATAGTTAGTCATGTGATTAAGGGACAGTTTATAAAGCAAATGAGTTCAGGGGCAGGGGTATAGCAAGCAAGGATACCCCCATCTACAGAATACAGACAGGTAAAAATCAGCTATTTTCTTTTTTTCCTGTGGTTTAAAATGCATGAGAGGTCCTACAGGTCCTGTGTCATGTACTTTTATTAGTCTTATATAAAGTATGTTTTTTTATAGATTTATTTTTCACTAATTATGTTGGATCATTTTAAGAATCGTTAATTTATGGTAGACTTTTCTATGAATTCTCAATAAACTTATGCGACCTACATTCTGTGCAAATAGCACCTTAGAAATACAGTGGATTTATTAGTAGTTGTAGCAGTAGTAGTAGTAGTAGAAGAAGGAGAAGGAACATTATTAGAGATAATTACTGGAAGTAGGTGGAATATTATTGGAAATAATATGTAAAGTATGGAACATATGAGGGGAAAAAAGCAAAATTACTTCTCTTTTTATTAAACAGGTCTTAATCCAAATATGTCAGACACAGAAGAAGTTGAATATGAGTAAGTACTGTCTGATATATTTGATATCACATTACTTTTCTAACATTTTTCAATCTATATATTATTATGCTGTACATTATGTATTACCTGTTGTTATGACTAGTGCAACTAATCTGAACAAAAGATATGAATCCCTGCGGCAGCTAATCCAGTGAAGTATTTTCTCCTTTGTTTCTGATTTCAGGGAGCAGGAAGGTAAGTTGCTGTAGTATTACTTGCTAATAAAAAGAGAAAAGGCCATGCTGCATGTTCTTTCAATGCTGACAACGCAAGATAACTCACTACTGACACAAGCAGTCAGTTTTTAATGTGCTGTGACCGAAGATGAATCAAGTTTTCAAAAGTATCCAACTATAAAATGCTCCACTATTGTGTTACCTCTGCTCTGAATTGTTTACTAATATTAAGCTTTACTTTGCACTGAAGATGATTTGCCAGAAGTAAGTTATAAACACCTGCACATAAAAAAAGTAATGGACTCCTGCCATTGGCAAGCTAATTCTTAGTCTTGCCACAACAGAGACCTTCATACATCAACAATAATGATACGGACCGCACCCACTATATCATATGTGGGCTATTTTCTCCATAATGCCTGTTAAGAAAGTCAGAGTTCTTTCTGGGTGTGGTACTGTTTTGGCAACGCCTGCTCAGTCCCAGGAGAGAACTCAGGAGGTTTTGGAACTGGAACAAACACACAAGTGCAGCACGTTACACTAAAACATGCAATACGTGCGCTGCCATGCTCAGTGTTGGCAGATCAAATCAATTTCTGAGGTATTTTGTAACCTGACAGATTGAGTACTGTGCAAAGTGACGTACCATCCTTCATTTTTTTAATCTCCAGTCAAAAAAGGACATTAAGTACAGGTTATTCATTCAGGAGATTTTTATGAGGAGATTAGATGTAAGACGATACACTTGCATGCAGGATAAAAAAAGGCGTTTCCAAATTGGGAATGCTAACAACTATGCAACCCTGGTAGACCACCAAAACTGGATCAGATAAACGCTACTTGAAGCCTTCATCTCTGACAGAGAGGAGAAAAATTAAGCCCCACTATTTATTCAGACCTGAAAAAACCCACTGGTGTTTCTTTCACTGAGACAACTCAGCGCTACAAGTCAGAAAGGATGTGTAGCTGTCAAGAAGCCCTAATTGAGAAAAGGAAATGGACCAAAAAGAAGAACATTTGCAAACAAAGAAGCTGCTGGTGTTCTCAGAATAATGCAACCAACTTCTACGACTGAACGTTAGAGATGTGGAAAAACAGCCCTGCAGATTTCTTTGAAAAACCCAAAGCAAGTCTCCCAAAACCGTGAATGGATTTAGTAATAAAGGCAAAGGATGGACAGACTAAATACTGTAAATATGATATTTTATTTAGCTTATTTAATATATATTTTTAATGCATTTTCTGCTTTCTTTTTCTGACTTTATGGTACTTTATGGCCACTTTTGATGGGATATAAAAATGAAGGGTGATCTTTGACTTTTGCACAGTACTGCATATCTTATGAGTATAGACTAAGAAACAAAACCCCCAATTGCACAGGAAAGGATATAGAAAGTAAGGAAAGCTCTAATAAATTAGCAACTGAATTTCATTTTGGGCCAATACTGAATAATACCAGGGCTAAAATCCTGATACCAATACTTTCAAAATTCTTAATGTGCACATAAGAAAGAATTCAAGGTAGCCATCAAAAACTACATATGAAAGTTTTTGCATTTGAATTAAGAATACTGCAAAAGTCAGACTGTTTAGTGGAGTGAAATAACTCCATAGGATCTGTGTTAGAGAATATTGGCTCCATCTTGTGTGGCTGTCCGTGTCTGCGTGTGTATGTGACGAGCAATGGGAGAGGACAGAAAGAAAAGTCTTTCCTGTCCTACACTTCTGACCATTTTCTCTTTATCAGATTCAAATGCACACGGTCTAATAAAATAATACACATATACTGAAGTATTGCAACTTCATTTTTAATTTGATCACCACTATTTCGTTGAGAAGTGTATTAAAGCAGCTTTGGACATGGTTGTATGTTTCAGTGCATGGGTTTGTGCTCTATGTACCATTTTTGCACTATTTTCTCACATCGCAGCTGTTTCTGTAGTTTCTCCATGATGCTATGATGCTAACACCACTAGAAATCTGGTTGCCATGTTATCGACTGGCTTACATTCATAATGTGAGTGGAACTGTAATCGTTCTGCCCTGATTAATGGTGAAAAAGCTGCACTGTGTGAGGAAAAAGAGGCTGAGCTACCTGTGGGCCTCACAAAGAGTGGCTGTTGTTAGCCGCACAATGCTAATCTCACTCTGTCTCCTGTTTTCCGCTCCCTGTAGACGAGCTCAGGTTTCTTCCTCAGAGGAAGGCTTTGAGAGTGGAGCTTTCAGACATTTGCACTCACACTGCTCCAATTGTGTCTTGTGAGGAGCAGGAGGAGAGTTTTGAGTGTTGCTAAGCTGCCAGTACATTTTGTGAGAAAAGCGGAAAGTGGTGCGCAGAGGCCTAGCCCAACAGGCTAATCAAGTACTGTGACAAATGGTACTCTATTTCTGCCTGTTACCTCACAAGAACTGTATGAGCTGATCTGCTGCATGAGGGTGAGGATTCTGACTTTGAAGGGGAGAACGAGGCACACATTTTGATTTTTGCTGAATCATTTTTAAATAATATTTGAAGAAGATTAATATTTTATACACATTTTTGCTATAAATAGAAGCATAACTTTTGTTTCCAGCACCTACTTCCAGTGAACAGTTTAGCTGAAAGTGGAGTGAGTGCAAACATTACATTACATCGTCTGGGTTGACTGTAACAGACTGAGAGGCTAGTTGTAACAGCTACTAGTACAGTTCTATGTTGTTTAAGCCAAATTTATTTTGGGCCACAAAAAAAATCACAATAAAATATTTGTACATATATTATTCTTTCATTTATTTGATATTATGTATTTCATTTACATGACAGCGATGGATGAATCTTTGATAAATCTGTGAAAACTGACTGTTTTGGATTTATATGGGGGGATAAATACGTCTCTCATTATTTATGTCAGAAGGCTTAGCTAGCCAGGCTACTTTTTAAAATGGTGCTTTATTACAGCCACCAAGTGAGTAATCAAAACAATATAGGAGTGATTCAAAATTCAGTAATCAAAAAACACTTATAATGAAAATAAGTAACTTTTATGTTTCAAAAAGGGTAAAGCTGCAGAAATATCTGAAAACTACAAAAATTCCGATGAGGCTGCTATGCTACCACAAGAACACGACTTTTAGCATGTTCTACCAGAACATGAAAGCATGTTCTGCTTAAAACCTGTTTAACTCCATAAATATTCATTTTACCCTGCAATAGTTTGTGCCCCGCTCTCCCCTACTTTGTGTCTATGTCTACTGTGATTTATGTGTGTGAGCATCATGCAGCCATTCTCTAACGTTAGAGGATGACCGCCATCTCACAAAGCTTCTGCTTCTTTGCACAGAAGAGATTTTGGAGGAGGAGGAGCAGGAGGTAGAGGAGGAGGTGGAGGAGCAGGAGGTAGAGGAGGAGAATGAGGAGGAGGAGGAGGAGGAAGGTAGAGCTGCTTCAGCTAATGCTAATGATGCTATGGCTTTACTAATGTAAAACTGTGATCAATAAGTAAAAGCTCATAGGAGAACCATGGTTGCTAAAAGATGCTCTATGAAAGTGGCCGGACGGTTTGGGTGGTCTTCATCAACTGGAAAATTGTCATACCACCAAATCATAGCTACAATGTATAGTAAAGCATAGTATAGTATGTAGTTTTAGGCTGCATTTATATTAATGAACATACAGTACTACTACAGACTATACAGTACTACTACATTCATATATATTACTGTACTACATACGAATGCACTACTACTGGTGGTGTTCTATTTTGACATGCTATTTAACGTGCCGTTCAAGCTGTTTATATGGGTTGGGGAAAGTCATTTAGGGTCTGTCTCATGAAGCAGGATTTCTTAGCCAGCTAACTTTAGGCTTAGTTGGATCTATCCCTGAATTCATAAAATTCTATCACTTTTAATAGGGATACATTACCATAGCAACACATTTAACCTGCTCTAGGGGAGGATAAGTTCAGGATTTCAGATCATAAACAGCTTCTGGACCAATCAGGGACTGCCTCTCCAGTCCTTTTGGGTCATTTTTTTTCTTGATGTTTGTGGTTTCAATTATGTGAAAAATACTGCAGAGGAAACTGATTCAAACTACACAGATATCAAAAATACAAAGCAATTATTACTCCAATAAACATCTTTAGGTATCTAGATAGCAAGCATATTTTAGTCCACTGGCTTGATTAGGCTGGAACCCCGTTGACTGTATGCCACGGCTAGTCCACCTTAGAACCACCCTGATTACCGTCTGGCATACAAGGTCTAACTAGTTTTTAATGTTCTCAAACAGATTTTAAGCACATATAGGCTTTTACTTAGGACAATAAACTAAGAGAAGCATTACAAACAATTGTGAGAAAGGAATAATGACTAGGCCAACTATAAAATGATTCTGTTGAAAATGTTGTTGCTGCCATTGTGCTAGAGTGGTTACAGCTGCATAACTGGCTTTATTTATGATATTGCTGTTAAAATTAGTAGAAAGTAATGAAAGAAAAATAAGTCAATTGGGCTGTGAGTGGAAAAGTGTCATTTTGTCTACTACTCCAGCCAGTACGCCGTCAGCTTTGCTGTCAGCAGGCCATTATCTTGCTATCTGAGTAGTATGATGTCTCATTTCTACTTTGAAAAATAAGCTGCTGAACTCACGTTTTGTGTGTTTGCCTGTGTGCACATGCCCGAGGATTATACATAGCTTGAGTATCTAAATCTAGGTTAACAGAGAAAGTTGTTAACCGCCATTAAAAAAAAATTCCATTTATTAGGTTTCGTGAAACTAAACTTAGTCATGAACGCTTCGAACAGGTGAACTTGCTTCGTGAGACAGGGTCCTGGTAAAGTTCATCATGTAAACTGTGTACATTCACTGGTATGGATCAATGACATCACTCCCTGAAAACTAATTTTATTTTAATAAAGTAATTGTTGGTCCCTTAAAAGGCCAATTTATTCTCTACATGTATTGTTATTAATATAATAATTTACTACAATAATGCACAAAAATAGTGTATATCATCACCTTTCTTTAAAAAAAATAAATAATAATAATAATAATAAAATGATAGTTGTCCCTAACATTGTGTCAAAATTTCATAAAAAACATACTGAGAGTATAGAAATGTTCCAACATTTCATGGAATAAAATCCTGTTACATTAACTTACATTAAAAGTTAAGAACACAGAGATTTTGTTTCGACTGTGACAATATTTAAGAATGGTACCATGTTTGCCAGTTAGGCCGGAACAAGTTTATGAGGGCCATATGAACCATAAGACCAATTCTCCGAAAGGTCAACCTGAAGGGTTAATCACACTCAGAGTGTCAGACAGCAGTTCCCCCATGCAACACTAAAACAGTTCCACTTATCATAGGTAATGTGTTTATTGAACATCTTCATTCAAATGGAATGCACTATAAGACATACAGGCCCTAACCTGTCTGATGAGTGCAAAGTCACAGTGTTCATATGACGGATTAATATAAATATGTGATATCATTGTATTGTGTATGAAGAATATCCAAACGCATAAAACACGTAACATATAATGAAAAACGAACTGAAATCAGTTTTTAAATGGATAGATTTTGGGAGGGGAATATGGTGGTTACTTTAAGGATTAGGAAAAGAAGTATTACATGACCTTTCACTCTCTTATTTTTTTTATCCATCATTATTTCATACCCTTGTTATGTAACATTATTTTACTTGTCTTCATACTATGATAAAAGTCAAACAAAACTTTCATTTAAAAAAAATAGTAGGAAACAAATCCAGTGCTTCCAAAGCAACACAGTTTTATTTTTTTAAAAAAAAAAAAACATACTAAAAAGAGAAAAAAGAAAAAATGAACGCTTTGACACATTAAAGAAAGAACTGTCTTTTGTAGGAAGGCTTTGTGTGGGTGGATTTTTGAGCAGAGCTTGTGGCCTTGAAACAGACAACACAATCCAGCCTGCAGTTTCAACTGTAACCCGTGCTCAGTAATAATCTGCAGCGGAATGCATACTGTATGTGTTGCGTCTGTTTCTCAGTGAGTAGTCAGGAAGCAGGTCAGAACCTAATAAGCTAGACAATGACAGTAACGTCATCATGACATCATGACAGGTATTTGTGTTGCTCCACAATGAACAAGAGAGTGTGCGCTAAGTTCTTCACCCTAATAGCTTGACTCAGTCCATCATATCTGACAAAGTCATTCATTCATGTTGTCACACAGTGACCTGCTTAACCTCAATTTCCACAGTCAGTTCAGTCAAAGTGTAGTAAGAAGTACCAGTGACGTACGATTACGTACCAGCGTCTCTTTCAGGTCTCCATTAGTGAGCTTGGCTAACAGAACTTTCTCTATTGTCGATTAGCAGTGTACTTGCAGGCTCCTTGCAGCATTGTTCTACTATCAGGCCTGTGTCTGCTCTTGCCTTTACATTGTTTTGATAACATTACTTAGAGCCCTCTGACCTTTCTCCTTCCATAGGTGCAGCTCTAGAACATGGGGAGGAAGGTAAGAAAGGCTCAAAACTCAGTGCTTTCCTTCCATGCACAATTCTGTTATACAGCTTAACACAGTTATATTGGATTTATAAAGAACCAAGTTATAGTGTTGAAATCTTTATGGTTTCCAAAGAAAGGGTTAAAATCAGGGACGTGGGAAGGTGTTTTGAAGGGCAACTCCACCAATTTTTCAAAATGTATGTATAATTAAATGGCTAACATGTCAACAAAGTCACTCAGAGTGGTTTGGTGTGAAATTCTCCATTCTAGAGAAACTTACAGAGTCAGAATTGTTCACAGTGGTGGTGATAGGAACCAGACGTCTGAGGAGACCAGCGCCTCTAAAAGCTCCTTTCCAGAAAGTTTTACCGTAGTTTTGTGATAAAGTTTTGATCTAAAACGTCTTTTAATCAATTTATTTTAATCCAGTCAAGGTGGAGGAACACATGAAGGCTGTTCTGTGGCAAAATAGTCCCCAAAGAAGACTTATTTTTTCCAATTGACCATTATTGTAATATCATAAACATTACATAAAAAACTCAAGACACGTGTAGTTTACTGGTGGTTTTGGACAGTAAATAAAATGGCTATATATGCATTGTAAACATCAGAACTACTGGTTCCCATCACCACCACTGTAAAGAAATCTGTTGAGTCGGTAAGCTTCTCTGCAAATAAATCATTTCAAATCAAACTGCTCTGAATGACACTTTACATCTCAACCACTGGATTATACAGAAATTTTGAAATATCGGTGGAATTCCCCTTGGGAGTACTAAAATTTTGAGCAGCAAATATGTGATGTGACCTATGACGTCATGCAAATTATTTGGCTTTTTCTTGCCTATTTATTTATTTTACTATTTCACAATAAACAGAACGTGTCGTACAAGTGCTACAATGAGGTGAGAGATGACAATATATACATATAATTGTCACATCAAATCATAGACACATATACCTTCTCTGCTCTCTTGTTCTGGACGAACTGCAAATGATCTGAGCAGCGCCCAGTGAGATTGTTGATTTGTGGCGCAGTAAGCGATTGAGTCATGCAGTGCAATTTAACACTGAAATGCACACACAGCTGGAGATAATGGTGGATAAAACGCTATTATTACAACATAATTATTTTAAAGTTTAAAAAAACAATATTATGCTGCTTTAGGGGTTAAAACTGGCCTGTAACTCTGCATAGACTTTCTCCCTTTGCACCTCAACCTGCGTGTTTTACTGACGCGCCCTGACGCAGTCAGGTTTCAGCTCACTGCAATGAAAATACTGCGCTCACTCACACAGTGAACGACTACTGCAGATTTTGAAAGCATAAAAATACAAACTCCACTCTAAAACAAGCACACATGACTCTATTCTACACTCAAATTATTCAAAAGTTATTATTATTATTATATTTAGCAGTTGCAGTCCTGAAATCAGGGTGTCTGAATCCCCGGTTAAAGCAATAAAATGGCAAAACATCTAACTTACTCAATCTTTATCCTGATTGTTGTAGCTTTTTTTAAAATTTTTTCTATTCTTTTCTCCCTCATAATAACTGGGCGGCGCAGAGGAGACAAAACCAAAGCTAAAGTGAGTGAAAGTGTGACTGTAGGAAAGCAACACAGATCTCAAACATACATTCAGCACAAAAAAAACTGATGCATTAACTGATGTATTCTTTTTTGATGTATTCTTAACTTTCAGAACTTTTCTACCAGCATTGGTACCTCCCAAAATTCCTGATGGGGAGAAAGTGGACTTTGATGTGAGTACAGCTTGAAACTGAATACTGCATTCATTATCTTCACCACAAGAAAAACACATGACTGACATTTTTTCAACTAATTTGGGTGGCTGTAGCTTTGTTCAAAATGAGACCGTCATCACTGTGTACCCTCTAGTTTAAACCAGAAGGTACTATGTAGTACTGTACAAAAGTCAGAGACCACCTGTCACTCTCAGAAAAAAAGGGTCCTAAATTGCTACCGGGGCAGCACCCCTCGTCACTCAGGTGGCACCCTCAAGGGTACGTCTTTAGTTAGGGATCATAACTGTACCATAAACCATTGCGATTTTTTTTTAAAGCTGGATTGAATCCACACTCTCATCACTCCAGGCGTTTTATTTGATTGTTCCATATTAAAACATGTTATGAAAAAGTACAAATAAGTACCGTTCCCCTGGGAAAAACACACTGAAGGTACACAAGCAGACCTTAAAAATGCTGTTGTACCTTTGAAGGTACATTCACACTGCTTGTACCTTGATGAATGAAAAGTATACCTGCACAGAACCTTTGTTCTGACAGTTTGTTATTCATTTAATTTCCAGTCAAAACATTTCTTACAGGTTTTCAATGCCTTTAAAAAGCCAAAAACATGTATTTAGTAGAAAATTACACAGAAGACTCAACAACTAAATGCAATATTTTCAGTATTTAGTGTGTCTACACTTTACTGCCTTTACTACCATTCTCTTCAGGAGACGTGCTTTCATATGTGTGTGGATATTTTTCCGCACCTCCAGTCTTAGAAGTTGGCTGCACTTTCTGCTTCTCACAATACAAGTAATCCCTATTACAAATTTAGACTGATCAGTCCATATAGACCCTAAACCACATCTCAGATGTTTCAATGAGCGCGTTTACATGCGCTTAATAATCCGATAACTGCAGACAATCAGATTTTGTCAATAATCCAATCAACACGTTTCCATGCACTTGAGTAATCAGATAATGGGAAACTCTGGGTCTACGAGTCAGGCAGTAATCAGATTTCTGCTTTGCAACCAGCCAATAAACTCACAGAAGAAGACGTGACGTAAACGTAACATAAAACTGAAACTTCATGGCCCATTTTTTTTAACATTGCGCGACTTTACCTCAAAATATGAACATACATCATATAAAAGATAAAGAATATTTAAATCCTTTATTTCGTATTTGGTTTCAGTGCTGCTCCAAAAGTATTTTGCTGCCATCTCACGGCAAAGCTGCTGGTACCATCGTCTGTTCTCGCGCAGACTGAGAAATCCGAAAGCAATCAGAGTAAGAGTTTACATACACTGAGAAATCAGATTACTGAGCTAAAATCCAGCTCTTTTTATCGGATTTCTTAATCGGATTCCTAGATAGGAGTATGGGGTTTACATGACCATTTAAATGATGGGGTAAATGCAGAAATCAGATTATGATCGGAGTATTGAGTGCATGTAAACGCACTCAGTGTTTTCCTTACTTTTCTCAGTAAGAGCTTTTTGACAACTACACATCCTTTCAGACCCATAGTAAAGGTCCTGCAAGATTTCATGCTGCTCCTGCAGAAAATCTGAATAATTTGTCCCGCTCCCGCCCTGCACTGTCCTGTCAAGGCAAACTGGCATCCAATATCTGACATAGTGTATACACAAACACATTATCGTCTGCTGAAATAACACGGCAGTCATGGTCATCAGGCTCACTGTGAAGTAATTTCACCAAACGCCAATTATTTCCAGTAAACATAAAGCAGGAATTAAACCACAGAAGGGTTATTTCTGGTGTTCTGCTGGGCAGCTGTGGCCGTCGGACTGAAGGCTCCACCGTCTTTGTGAGCTACAAGTATTTGTGTGTTGTTCATGTGATTGGTTGCTTCCAACTCTTTAGAATGACTTCAATTATTTTAACTGTTTTATTGTTATTATTTTATACTGTATATATGTATAATTTAGTGACTGTTCTACTTTATTTAGGCTGTTCATTAATTTTCGAGATTTCTCTTCATGTGCGCTTCGACCCATTCCTGGTTTCCTGCCTGTTCCTGCACTCTGGAAACTAGTCCCGCGCCGCAAGATACTGTGGCGAGTCCCGCAGGAATCCACGGGAGTGCAGACCTCTAACCCATAGCACTGAGTTGTCTTCTCACTGTGGAAGCATGGACAGAAGCACCTGTGGATTTTTTTTTCAGATCTGATGCAATTTTCTGCTATTTCTCAAAGATGAAAGCTTTAAGTGCTGTTTATCTGATATGGACAGTGTTAGTGGTCCACCAGGTCTTGCATTATTGTTAAGAGTCCCATTGTCTCTGTGTCTTTGAATATTTTTTTTTTCGAACTCAACTTTTTGGAAACTCCTGTTTTTCCACTTCTTTTCCTTTGACTTTCTCCTCCCTTGTGCAAGCGGATCTAGATCTAATCTCTGCAGAAACGTCTCCTGAAAAATGAATAACTTCATCTTAAAGGCTGTTTTGACTGGAAATGAAATAAATAAATAAATAAATAATGGTCTCTGAATTTGAACTCTCGTCGTTTGTTGTGCAGGACATTCATCGTAAGCGCATGGAAAAAGACCTGGCTGAGCTTCAGTCTCTGATTGAGGCGCACTTCGAGAGTCGCAAGAAGGAGGAAGAGGAACTTCATGCTCTTACCAGCCGAATCGTGAGTCATACTGAGTTTAACTTCTGGAGGCCTTGTGTGATGACATTTTACAGGTTGTTCACAACAGCTTGATGGTGTGGCTGTAGTTTGAGCCTTTTAACATTCTATAACAACCACTTCCTTGATGACAGCCTACATCTACAAAAATATTAATCTACTTTTCAGAATATTCATTGTCTAAAAAGGCACTACTGGTCATCTATTTACTGTAGCTGTACTGTTATTCATAATTACCAATTACAACCCTTGTTAGGCCGCAGTAATGGATTGAAGAATGTTGTGCCTATGCTGTTATACTGTGTGTGGAGTAAAGCTTGTCTTCCACTCTGCAAATAAGGAAAAAAGACGGTCAGAAAGAGCGGAGCAGATGAGAATCCGGGCAGAGAAAGAGAAAGAGCGACAAAACAAGCTGGCAGTGAGTCACTCCTAAAAGACAGCTCATGTCTTGAGGGGTTTTCAGACCAAAAACTGATCTGGTTTTCATCATGCAGGAAGAAAGGGCACGAAAGGAGGAAGAAGAGGCCAAGAAGAAAGCAGATGATGATGCCAAGAAAAAGAAAGTTCTGACCAGCCTACAGTTCACTGGATATATGCAAAAGGTAACGTTCATAAATCCTCAAAAGATCGTGGCCGACAGAGATACATTTGAAAAATGAAAGGTTCCTCAACAGTTCTTGGCTTGGACATACAGTCTTAGAAAAAAAATTGGTATAAAACCTTTACATTGTGTTCAGATTCGTTCAGCTATAAACCTTTATCACAGTAGCCACAAAATTAAATTAAATAAAATAAAATAATCCAGCTACTTTGGAGGCCCCTCCATTTTTGCACTTCACTTTTTTCTTCAGTAACTTTGACAGAATATATTTCAATGGAAATGTGTATGACTTTCAAACCTGGAAGCAAACTGGATTTTCGTCTTCATAGCTGAGCAAGCAGATCAATATTTATGAAAGTGTTTTTATTGTGTTTGAATGCAGTATACAGTTAATATAAAGAAATCTCGGTTTGGCTGTCTTTGTGGAGAAATCGCAGCAGTGGTTCTCACCTCTCCCCTTTCATTGTTTGCTAGCAGCTTAACAGAGTCACAACATTTCACACACAGAGAGCCAACAGTGTCCTAGTTAAGCCGATAACAGAGTTACAGCAGGAACATATTTTGATTATATTAATGCAAAATACATGAGTTGATTTCTGTTCTGCCGGTGGACTGGCCACTAGGGAAAAATAGAAAAGAGGTTAAAAGGTTCCTCACACTCACATCTTTCCACTGAAAGCAGACTGAAAGTAGAGGTAGGCAATATTTATTAGACAGTAACTGTACATAACAAGTATACTTGAGTATTATTTTGAAAAAAATGTTGTTAATTCAAATATTGAGACTGATTATGGAGATGAACACTGGTGCTCTTAGGCCAGGGGTGTCCAATCTTATCCACAAAGGGCCAGTGTGGCTGCAGGTTTTCATTCCAACAAAGTGGGAGATCACCTGATCAGCAGCTTGAAGACTGAAACCACCTGATTAAACTACTGGAAACAGTGGCAAGGAAAAACTCCCTAAAAGCAAGAGGAAGAAATCCTTGATGGGAACCAAGACTCAAAGGGCAACCCATCCTATTCACAGAACTCACTGAAGAGGTTTCATTTTCTATTTTATCTTCAACTCTACATTTCAGATAAATTAAAAAAGGTCCTACATAAAATATCAAAATATTGATTAAAATGATAGATTTGTTTAAGACATGAATTTATACACAGGCATCAGTTTAAAAAGTATATTTGTCTTTTAAGCAGAAGGTTTTAGATCAAAATGCCTTTAAGAAAACTGAAAACTTACATTGACTGGTAGTTTACATCTCCAAAGGGAAGGGAAAACACACACGTAAGTACTCATTCAACACTCATCAGGCCAGGAGATTTTTCTCTTTTTTCAGATTCATATCAATGTAAAATACTCATAATCATGACGAAATGCCCATAATAATTCTGTGCTAGGACCAACTAGACGCATTCACTACTTTAAGTTACACAGAGTGCATACAGCTTGGGCTCAGCATTATCGTTAAAATTTTTTTTTTTATCAGTTAAAACATCTGTTTTCAATGTTTATATGTTGATGCTTTGACTTTCACCATCAACTATATTTTTGGCTCTGTACTTCCCCTTTCAAGGCCTTGAGACAGTGCCCACACTTTCACTGCACTTATAACTGAAAGTTTCTTCAGTAAACCAAAGATGATCCTTCTGTGGCATCACTCCAAAGAACCTTTTTTGACACCTTAACTTTTTAGGAGTGTAGATGAGTGACTGACTTTCACCTGACTGACTATCCATGTTCTCTCATCCACAGACGGACAAGAAAGGAGGACCAAAGAAGCAAACAGAGAGAGAGAAGAAGAGAAAGATCCTTAGCGAGCGCCGCAAAGAGCTGAATATCGATGATCTAAATGCCGAAAAACTCAGGTATGGCTGAAAAAGAGAGATACAAATACTAGACTTGCCTCAACCCAAATAAAGTACAGTGATAGTGAACATGGTCTATTTCAACATGCCATAAAGCCACAGACTGCTGGGCTACAGGCACTTCATTGACTTGTTAATGATGTTGATGGTATTCCATGCAGAGAGAAAGCCAATGAACTTTGGAAGTGGATGCACCAACTCGAGGCAGAGAAATTCGAACTGCAATACAAATACACGCATCAGAAATACGAGGTATGACTTTCAAATATGAGGATGTGTCCAATATGTCCCCACACTGACTGTAAAAGGGCCACTCAGCGAGGCTGTTTCCAGCATGAGGTGTCCTTAGTAACTTCTTTTGTTGAGCGAGAGCTTTCACATAAACGCATGTTGACAGAACCATTAAATTATAACTCACACCGCCTGTGGCAACCACACCCAGGCCAGACTTGGCAAGACAGTCAGGTTATACTGTATATCTCATCCTTGGAACCGTTCCCAGGCCTTTGACTGGCATGAGAAGGAAGTAGACACAGTTGGTGATGATTGAGAAAAGAAAGCCTTACATCTCTGCTTCTCTCTGTCGCAGGTAACTGTCCTGAGGAACAGAGTCAGTGACCACCAGAAGAAGTGAGTAGCTGTGACTCATTCTACTTTCATCTGTCTTTATCCCCACATCATGCAAAACAAACAGAATTCCTACATATCACTATGTAATCAGCCTGCCAGTAAGTGTCTGGCGAAAGATCAAATTTGTACAATTTTACACTACTCCAGAAACAGGTGATCAACCAAGACAGTTTTAGTTTAGCACTGGAGCTACAAGGCTAACATTGCTAATGAACACTAGAATTCAATTGTCACCCAAATGTTTTCCGTAATTACATCCCCAAAACTTCTCCTACCCTTCTCAAACCACATCCAGGTCTTTGTTAAAGTTTTGTTCATTTTATAGTTCACTTTTTCCACGAAGACCTGGATGCAGTATGGTTCAGTCTCACGGGGTCCGATGTGATCTTGTAATGAGAATACACATCTGAAGACAACTTTTGGTGGTGGACTGCTGCAAAATCCACTCCAAACAAGGGTACACCCCAACAATACAACACACACAAATCACTGCTGTCCAAAGTAGCTGTCCTTTACATTGTGTAAACCCTTAATGATGGAAGAACCGACAGAAATGCTCCAAAATAACTTTTATTTCAAATCTCACTATGTTAACTTACATTAAAATAAGTTACCATTAAAATGACCATTTTGCAGATGCTTATTTTTTTGGACAGCCATGAAATCAAGCTAAAGAGCGTAAGGCTACAGCAACGTAATAAAGCCGTTGTTTATTTTTACTACATGGAATGTATTCTCTGCACACATATGTGCTTAATTGTTTTTTGGAGGATTTTTCAGAAAAGCTAACATACGTCCCTGGGACGAAAAAACAGGCTTGTTGTTCATCAGAAAACCGCCCCTACTTTAAGCTCCTCCTTCATGAAACATCGAATTGGTTTAGAATTTTACACTCAGTTTGTTACCATCCTAAAATGTCTACAAACCCACCCCCATTTAGCCCCAAATTTCTTATGTTTTGCCCCTTCTCATTACGAGATCAGGTACGACCCTGTGTGAAACAAGCTGGTCGAGAGAAGTTTTGAGGATGTATTTACGGAAAAATGTGTGAAAAGTGTGTGACCCAGTTTGCGAACTGGTGGGTATGTGCTTCCGAGCTACATTAGCCTCGTAGTTCCAGTGCAAAACTAAACAAGCAAAAAATGTGACACCAAACATATCTTGGCTGATGACCATTTGGGACAAGGGGAAAACATTTGATTTGTGGATCTGTGCCATCTTGCAAAGACAGCATGTGTAATCTACACACTCATGTCAGACGTTCATTGCTTTTTCATCCATATCTCATTATTTCCAAGCATCTAACCAGAAATGATAGCTGATAAAGAATCCCAAGTTTATTCTATCTTGTGTGCATAACGAGTTTGGGGCAGATACCAGCTTCCTTTCTAGGGGAGTTCCAGCAATTCCAGATAACAGTCTCTTGCGCTCGGTCTACCTTACTCTTTCGTACTCTCACTCTGCCTGTCTCTCCATCTTTCTTTTTCTCTTTGTGTGAAGATTCAGACATGCAGTTTGCTAATATAAGCTTATATTACATGTTACCTACATTAGCTTTGTGGCTCCAGTGCAAAACTAAAGAAGCAAAGTTCCAACACTAAACATATGTTGGCTGATGACCATCTGGCATAAGTGGAAAAAGTGGATTTTTGCCAAACCTTCGCTTTAACCCTATCTTTGGAAACCATAAAGAATCTAAATACATTATTGGGTTTACTTGCATTCATATATTCCCAAAGCAACATACTTGAATTGTTTTCCTTCACGGTGATAGTCACAGTTAATACCCAGCTAAGACTGGTGAGGCCGTGCCAGTGTGGAGGCTCTTCTTGTGTCTCTATGTATTTGCTTCATTCCAGAACGCACTGTTTGAAGTAGCAGCTGGCGCTGAGCTTGATGTTCTGTGGCATGGCCTTTAAAGCAGGCCTACCGGGACTAGGTACACAAAGGCACTGTCTTAAAAAAGGACAGTGCATGGCACCCGTGAAGCACAGACGCATTCGATCCAGGCGGATACAATAGCAGCAGCTGCAAAACCACACTAAGCCCTGCGTGAAGTCAGGGAGTATAATTATACGACCCAGTGCAGTATAAAATAAACCACCGGACTGGCATTCAAAACATCAAACCCCTCAGCTCCAAATCTGCTGGACTGGGCGTTCAGTGGCATTAGCACAAGCACGCTGTGAAAAGGCAGCACTGTGAGACTCAACCCACAGGTGTGTGCTTAAAAAAAGGAATAAAAAAAAATTGTTTGGCACCTTGTGTTATCTGTGCTGGCATAATGGCAAGTTTAGTGCTGAGGCCATGATGGAGAAGAAGATGGCCCATTTTCATTCTGATTACACTGATTAACTACAATTCCAGCATTTGACTCATGCCGGATCTATGCCGTCTTGCAGAGATAGCATGTGTAATCTCCACCTATCTACAAACTCATGTCTCACATGACATCCCGAATACAAAACACCTGCAGACTCATGGCAGGAAGCTCATCGCTTTTTCATTTCATTTAGCCAGAAACTGAACAAACTAAGTTTATTCAGCCTTGTCTGGGTAAGCAGGGTGGAGCACATGCCTTCATCCTCATTAAAGTAGTTTCAGCAGCGTCTTGAAACCCAACCCTGGATGACTGAAAAAAGAGAGAGAGATGGATGGGAAAGGAGAGAGAGAGAGAGAGAGAGAGAGAGAGAGAGAGAGAGAGAGAGAGAGAGAGAGAGAGAGAGAGAGAGAGAGAGAGAGAGAGAGAGAGAGAGAGAGTCTATGTCTTGTTTCTGTCTCGCTCTCTGACTTTGACCCCTGTCTCTCTCTCTCTTTTTCCCCCATCTCTCTATTTGCTATCTTTCTCTTACTTTCAATTTCTTTCACTGTTCTTAATCTTTCACTGTTTTTCTCTCGTTCTTTTCTCTCCCATCTTTTTCTCTTGCTCTGCCTCTCCATCTCTCTTATTCTTTCAAACTTTTATCCATCTATTTTGCAGTCTTTATCTCTCTCTCACAATTTTTCTTTCTCACTCTTTCTGTCACAGTCTTTCTATTTGTCCCACTCTCTTTCTTTCTCTATTTGTCCCTCTCTCTTGCCCTTACAATCTTTCATTTTGCTCCACTCTGTTTTTTTCCTCTATTTGTCCCCACCTTTCTCTCTCTCTCTCTCTCTGTTCCACTCTCTCTTTCTGTTTTTTTCTTTTTTTGCCCCCCCATGTTTCTATTCATCCCACTCTCTTGTTTTTTTTTCCCCTCTATTTGTCCACCCTCTGTCTGTCTGTCTCTCTCTGTCTCTTGATGTCTGAGGGTTGAGAGCTTGTTGGAGAAAGCACCAAGTGAGTGGTAACTCTGTTGTCATAACAGCTGTTGCTGTAGGGGTCAAAGGTTAAGGCCCTGATGGAGGCGCCTTGGGTGCAGGGGGATCAGACTGCCCGGGGGGCTCCTGAGAGCTCTCAGCTTCTGCACATATAAGAGAGCTTTGGGCGGATGTGAGCTGAATGCCAGTCCTACTACTGTACAGAGCCCTAGAAGGTAAATAGAGTGAAAAGCTAATCCCTCCTATTATGTGTAATCAGAGATGAATCATTACGTAGTATTTTATTAAGTAATAAAATACAACACAGTCCCTTGTAAATCCATTTGATCACACACTTTAAATGGCATCAGCTTATCTTCTGAATATATATTATATTAAAAGCTTGATTAAAATTGTCACAAGTAAGTACCTCCATCACCAGATATATACAGTAAAAATATATATTCAACAGAAATTTATACAGGAAACCCCCACCAGTGTATTAAATCTATCATTGTTTAATTTGTCCATTTTTTACTTCATTCTTTCCACTTTACTGCCAATTCAACTCTTCCACCTTTCCAATCTTAAAATCAACCAGTTCCAGCCGTGTCCTCCCAACAAAAGCTTCTCAAATGAGTCACTGACATTAACACTGAATAACCGTAACATGATTAAGAGAGAGGAGAAAATCAAGCTTCACGTGTGGCTGTCAAGAAGCCTCACTGACAAAAGGAAACATAAAAAAAAAGAACATTTGAACGAAAACATAAAAACTGTGCATCTAAAGTGTGGAGGTTTTATGGACTGAAATGTGTAATTGGGTAATTGGGGCTAAAATAGAAAGTGCACTATTCCCGAAACAAGTTACAGCAGTATTTTGCTTCTGGTCCGTCTCTTTTGAGGGTCCAGCAATAGTGAGCAAGTGCACTAGAACTCCTCCTCCCTCAGTGCACCTCTCAAGACAATTTCTATGTTGGAAATGCTGAAATTGCTCACTGTGCTCATTAATGACTATGGCAAGATTCTCAGGGAAGAAATCCAGCTGAGAGTCCAGAAAATGTGTCATAATGGCACTATTATAATGCTACACCACATAGCTCTGTCAAGAGATCACTCACTATTTCACACAGGTTCTATATTAAGAGTTCCTAAAAAGCTCTTAGGCAGGGTTGGGAGGGTTACTTTAAAAATGTATTCTGTAACTGGTTCCCTGATAAAAATGTAATCAAACTCTAATCCAAAGGATTACTAAAAATTGAGGTAATCTCAACAAATAATTTCAACAAGACTTTTTCACCAAGAATTTTACTTAACATAAGGCAAACAAAAACTGCCCTGTTTTATGAAACAGAGTGACAGATTATAGGTGACTTAAATGTTGTGCCTCACCCAAACAAACACTGATCTCACATTTAGACTCACATTTAAACAGACAAATCTAAGTGGACTAGTACATGGAAATATTTCAAACATAAAGATGACAAATTTGTATCTGCTAAAAGGCTGGACTGTATCATATGGTTTCATGTTGGTGTGTCATGACTGGACTTTGATAATCATAATTTGTAGACACTCCCTAATCAGCTCTCAGTGGTTTCAGTTTAAAGAGAAACCTGCACTAGAAGTTTAAAAAGGCATTAATTTCACATGAAAACTAAGTGGCAGCCGACTGTCTTTGTTAACAATCATTTACACAAATTAAAATTTTGCACCCACCCTTCAAAAACTACTGAAGAACAAAATGGCTTATGTGAAAACAACTAACTTCACCTCTCACAAGACTATGTTAGCTCACTTCAGCATTAAAATCTGGCAAGTAATCAGATCAGATTAGTTTGCTGATGTAGAATCAGGCGACGTGTCAAAGCAGACTGGTTCAGATATCTTCAGTAAAACTCAGTTCTGACAATAAAAACAAAATACTTACTAAACGTTCTGTTGACTGGCTGAATAAAAGACGGTGAATTGTTGTTGGGGAGGGAGATTCTTCAAAACTCTCTCCTGGCTGCAGAAGCCTCCTCCCCTCCTCTTCCCAAGTTCCCAAAACTCTTCAAATCTGCATGACTCATGTGCCAAATTTATCATCAAAAATGATGCATTTTAACAAAAGGAGATGCAAAAGGTGACGAGTCTGCATGTATGTGGTTTGAAGGTAATCCTGCAGGTAATCACCCAATTTTACAATAACTGTAATGGATTATGGATATATCCTGATTACGTAATGCCGTTACATGTACTCTTCTGCTACCCAGCCTTGGTTATATTCCTGTACAACAGCCATGCTGCTTTTTCTGCTTGACTCTACTTCACATGTCGTGTTACGAAAAGTCAGATATTTATTTGTCACAGGCAGCATACAGACTTTTCAAATAATTTTTTTTTTTTTTTGGCTTGGACATTAATTGGTATAAAACCTTTGTGTAAGTTTCTTTCAACTGTTCATGTTCACATGTCTGATGTACAGTAATGGTTCTTTAATGGGCCAATATCCCACATTGTTCTTGAACTTTATTATTCCCTAATGACTTCTTATGATCTTTGTGCTCTTGTGATGTTTCTAGATGACCAATTTATAACCTCTCTTTACTCCGTAGAATTAAACAGGCTATTTTTGTTACTGTACTTTTAAGAAGGTTATATGTGAAGGATGTCTGATCTGATTGGCAGTCCTGTATTCAAAAAGCAGTTCAGACTGTAACACTCCTTATAACTTCGGTCTTAATGGACAGCATACTGCTGCAGGCTGAATAGGTGAATATATGTAAACCCACTGACATCACAAAAACAATGCATTCAAAATGGGCTGTTTTTGCAGTTTAGTTTCCATATATGGCCCATTTAGACAGGGGAGTGAAAGCTTTTTTAATTTTCCATAACATGACCCCTCAAATACCCATCCTTTGAAAGATTCTTTTGGGTGTCAGAAGTGTTTTTTCGATTGCACTGCACCAAACAACCCTTCGTAGCACCTTTATTTTTAAGAGTATAAGGAACCCTTTTCCATCTGGCGTATTCATTATTTCATACCTGATGTTTTCGTCCATTCTTTCAGTTCCAAAGGGCCCAGGAGCAAGAGGGGCCTGAGGAAATAAAAAAGCATCACTGGAGGAGCCTGGACATGCTTCAGCCCCAGAGAGGCCCACATGACCTTTGGTCAATGTATTATTAAGAACTAATGCAATGACCACATGACATTTTCATCAATAATTAAAGAATTCTGGAAAGAGATGTGCATAATAAACTGAGTCAAGATTTTAAACCGTGTACATCATTAATGGTCATCTGGATATGATTCGGAGATTTAACTGTATGAATGTGGATTCATAGTCAGTAAATCCACACAGGCCTTTAGATTTGGTACTTTTAAAATTGTGAATTTAAACGTAAGAGCTGTACCGACCTGTTCAATCTGACTGATTTATCAAGATAACCTTAATGTCAACAGCTAAGTTAAGAAAGGCTGACTAGTTAGCTAACTGAACGCTGTTATATGACCTTATTTATCGTTAGCTACTACATTAAAATCAGTGTTAGCATTTACAGAAACCCAAACAAAGCTCAGCTTATCTTAGAGCCAGTAATTCTGTCAGGTAATAGTTTTGCCGTTGAGCTGGGAGTTTGGTTAGAGGGACTTTGGTTTGGTCCTCTAAATAGTTAGATAGATTAACCCAAAACAGCTTCAGGAGTGAAACAAAAACAAGACTCACCAAATGATCCGGACAACGACTGTCAGGAACTATAGCTACGTTCCTCAGCGACATCTTTCCCTAATCTAATTCTGGCTAATGTACCGTCAAGACCGTTTTCGCTGCAGGCTTTGCTTTCGCTTAATTGAGGAAGCCGCGCTCAGAGACGTCTGTGATTGGCTAAGAGGCATGTCAATCATTCATCTGCAAACGGTCAATTGGTTCAGCAACTTCACAATTAGTATATAAACTTTACATTATTTGGCTCTTTCCGCTAAAAGGGGACACGACTTGTAGCCCACAAAATGGTGTACATGTGCAGTACTACTCCAATACGATATATAAACCAAACGGAAATGTTTTGTTTATCATAAATGAGAAATAGGAAAAAGCCCTCTACTACTAGGTCACCATTGTCGCACCGTGATGATGTCATACTAATAATGACGTCTAATCATTTTTTCTTCAGGTAATGTCACTCTATAGGGGTCATTGATGTATAAGGATTTTCAATAGGCCAATTTTAAAATACAAAAAATAAATATATCTATTGCAACTGTTCAAACACTGAGAATGTTGTGAACCCATAAATTCATATTTAAATATGAGATTAAGTTATTTTAGTATTTTTTCATCTAGATGAAATGACTTAAAAAAGTCATGTGGTGCGACCATGATTTATCTCAAAATTGATTCATTTCCTTGACACACACACCTTTTTTTTTGCAAGTTCTCAGTAGTATGAAGTGTTTAGAAACATGTTTTGCATTACTTCTGAGTTTCTTAAATAATGATCTCATATTTTTGTTCTGTATTGTCTCAGTCGCCTTCTTAAATGAAGTAACATTTACTTTGACTTATTTTGACCTTTTTTTATTATGACTTATTTTTCCTGCAAATCGCATAAAACTTATAAAATGTTTTTTAAAAAAGCCATTAACTAAAACATACTGCATCAGCGATTAACATCTCAGCCACAAAAATTAGATATTTTATTTTAAATTTAAGAGTTATTGCTGTTATGTGTCGCACCACGTGATGAGGAGTCGCTCCAAATGACATGAATATCTTCAAAACTATTTACAAAGATCAATAAACAGTAAATTCCATACAAAAAATAGATTTGAACCAGATTTATCATAATTTTAAAGATTTGTCAAATGTTTCATAAACTTTTTTACTAAAAGTCTTTTCACAAATCATAAGTGCAGCACATTCACGGCTTTGTTTAGAACAAACATTTCATTATCTATTGTTTATTGTTATTATTAGTTTTATTTAACCTAAATAAATACTTTGAATAAGCAATTCTATTCATATTTTTTTAATTGAATAAGACTCGTTTAATTGCTTTTTTTTACTACATGAATTAATTTTTTTAGGTTGAACTAACAAGCCACTTTTTACAATGTGTTGACAGAAAGATTTTTAGTGCTGTATAGTGATATGCAAAAGTGTTTCTAAATTTCTGTTTATCTGCTGAGTTTAAAGGTGAAAAACTGTACTTACATTGGCATTGTTGAATAAGAAAAGTTTGGTACATGAAACTGACACACCACAAAGCTCAAACTCTGTTGTCTCTTCTTTCAAATGCAAATCCCACATTTATAAAAGTGGGTGACAAAACAGGACAAATTCTATTCCTATTATACTATTTTTACCTAGGGACCCTTTCCTTGCCATACTGGTACACAGTAAAAAAGATTCTTAGTTAAACCTAAAAAATTACTTAATGTGGTAACAAGTAAATTAACAAATTTTTACTAACTAAACAATTACTTTGAATGAATTTTTTTTTAATCAAAGTAAATTCTAAAGTTGAGTACAGCTAATTGAATTGTTACCACAAAGTAATTTTTTAGGTAAAACTGAAGAAACTGAAGAAAAAACAGTAATGTAATACAGCATCATGCCATAAATCTGCATTGTATGGTTTATTTTCATTTTGGACTAATGTTAAATGACAGCAGATGCAATGTTAACAAATAATACATTTCCTCCTCAAGGTAATGAAAAAATATACACAAGAACAATTTTTATTTAAAAAAAAAAATATATATATATATATATATATATATATATATTATATATTATATATATTTTCTATCCTAGCAAGGTACTCTACTCTTGCTACAGAGTCAGAAAACTTAACACGTTGCCTATGGTGAGAGATATTTACAATGGTATCTGGTAAAATAAATTAAAACAGTTATAAATATATAAATGAAAGGTACGTGAATTTACAATGATTTAACATAAACTTGTATCACAAAATATTAGAAAAAAATTACTCAAATTGCATTTAAATCAATTCCAAAAACTCTAAAACAAAGTACTTTATGTATATAAGTCATCATTAGAATATAAAGCACAAAAAACTGCCAATCTATGACATATATCTACTATAGAAAACACTCTGCATCGGGCGCACCACATGATATTTGGTCGCACCACATGATGTTTTCAAGTTCAGTCAAAATTTACCGGAACAGAACTGGCCACTGAAAGAAAATAGGCTAGCTTCCCACAAAAGGTAACTATGAAATTTATCATGAAAATATTTATTTGTAATTTTGTATATTTTCCGTTAAAAAGGTTATTTTTTCCCAAATTTCAGAGAGACTTACAAACCTGCTTGCTGCTTCCATGGGTCCTTTGGCAAACTGCTATATGATGTAATCTGTTTTTGAGATAGTTTTAACATAAATGTCCCAAAGTGGCCGTTTCTTGATGGTTACACCACATGATATTTTCATAAAATGGACATCATCGGACAAAGTTTGTTTGTATGTTATGATGTAAATAAAATTAGAAATGCTTTGCAGGTTTGAACAGGATGACAAAACACTTTGGAAATCATGCCAAATGGGATAAAAAATAAAAATGAATAGGTTTAGAATAATTTCAAAGAAGTTTTCAAAACAGGAGTCATGGCCGGACGGTCACACCACATGATATTTTGACCCTTTAAGTAATAGTAAAATTACAATTAACAAATATTTTTCGCAAAGTTAAAGTGAGCAGATATGTTGGGAGAGGTACTACATATATATAGTACCTATGTATGCATTTGAACCTTTTATAAACTGAAAAAAATGCTGTCGGTACAGAAAATTTAGGCATCACGTCATTGACCCATAGATAAAGTTTGAATGGCTAAATTATATATTTGATATGATATAAATCATAATTATAAAACATTATATCAGATATTTAGTTCGCTGTTCCTCAATGGACAATACAGAAAGAGCAACCTTGATGCCACAACAAAAATGGTGGCCTACTAGTAGCGGTATTTTGTCTATTTATTGTATAAATATATATATATATATTAAAAATAAGGTATTTTGCTTCGTATAAATAACACAATTCAACAGTACTGAACAGGTACACCATTTTGAGGCTTATATGTCTTAACAGGTTTACATTTTAAAAAGTTTTTCACTCTTACATTTCATTTACAACAATAGAACATATGAACATTTATGAATGTTCATAAAGTCTATTGGTTCATATACACACAGAGTATTTTCATATAGTTAAAAAGAAGTAAAAACAAATGGATGAGAATTTACCATTTTTTATGTACTACAAGCTTTAGCCTGCATGAGTTCATCAAAGATATGGTGACTTTCTTCAGAAATGTAATAATAAGCAAAATCTAGAATCACTGGTGCAAATTCAGGGGGGACGGAGGACCTTTTACAAACCATGCAAGACAATTTTGGGGGTTGCAGGATGGTTGTCAAAGTACACAGCTGAGCTGTTGGATATCAGTTATTATGTAGATGTCAAGTACAGTTTAAAACTCTAATTAAAGCCAAAATAGATTGTTGTTTCATTTAGTTAGAGTCAGTAAAGACAACAAGAAAGAAGTACTAAGCTGCACTGCAATTGTTTTTGACACTACTGTAAAATCCTTTGTTGACGTAACCCATAACAGCTATTAACAGTCTTTGCTTTTTCTTCTCATTTATCAATGTGCTTTAAAATTGCCATATAAAGCATATCACTATGATAAGTGTCATTGTAGGCTTACTTTCTTTACACAGTTCTACGATTGTAAGGCCACCTGATGTTGGTCCCACACTTATCAGAGCAAATTTGCACCCCTGCCTTCTCCTAAATGTGACTAAGACTCACACTAAAACGAATTTATATGCGTGTTGTAGTGGAACTCAACTGTAATGGAAACTATGTAAACATATCCACATTAATAACCACATCCAAAACCACCGTCCCACACTCTACACCCATAAATCACAATGAAATTTGACAGTGTTCTCTGTGCTTCCCAAGCTTGACAAGAGCTTATCGCGTTCTCTGGCAGTCAAGTGTCAGTACAAAGTGAGGAAATAGGTGGAGTGAAGACACCCAGAGATACTAAATGACAGCAGGGTATTAAAATATGCCAAGAATGAAGAAAAGCAGTGTCAGCACTTCGATGTTACAGATACACTCTTCCGTTTGTCAACTGAACGCCTTCAAGCTGGTGAAACAAGATTCGAGCTCAGCCAGATTGCCATATAATAACTTTATATGCTTGTGCCTGTTCTGTTTCAGTGAGTCACTT